AAACCATGTTTATAAGTTATCTAAGGTTATCTATAGATTAAAGTAAGCCCTAAAGACTTGGTGTGAGAGACTTAGTTCATTTCTTATTAAGAATAATTTTTTAAAAGACAAGGTCGATTCCATATTATTTATTAAATATTTTAAAAAAAATTTATTTAAATTTATATTGATGTTATTATTTTTTATTCTACAAATAAATCTTTATATGAATCATTTGTCAAAAGTATTAGCTAAGAATTTGAAATAAGTTTAATGGATGAATTGATATTTTTCTTAGGATTGTAAATTAAGCAACTATGTGATGAAACTTTTATTAGTCAAACTAAATATGCTTTGGAACTACTAAAATAGTTTTACTTAAATAGTGCTAAGGTCATAAACATACTAATGAGCACTTCTATTAAATTAGATAGGGAAAATGAAAGAGAATATTTTGATCAAAAGACTTGTAGATGTATGATAGGTAGTTTGCTATATCTTACTGCAATTAGACCTAATATAATATTTAGTATTGGACTTTATATAAGATTTTAATCCAATCCTAAACAATCTCACTATCAAGATGTTAAAAGGATTTTTAGATTCTTAAAAGGAACTCCTAATCTATGATCATAGTATCCAAAATTTAAAAATTTTGATTTGATTGCATATGTTAATGCTAAATTTGTAAGATATAGAATAGATAGAAAAAATACCTCTGGAACGTGTGAACTTCTAAATCATGCACTTGTTTCTTGGTCTTCTAAGAAATAAAATTTTGTTGTATTATCTACAACCGAGGTTGAATATATAGTGGTAAGTGCATGTTGTGCACAAATAATTTGGATGAAAATTACTTTAGAAGATTATGGACTATGCTTGAAAAATATTCATATAAAGTATGACAACACTAGTGCAATTTACTTGTCAAAAAATACTATTCAGTATTCATGAACCAAACATATTGATATTAGACATCATTTTATTAGGGATCATATTAATCATTATAATATATCTTAAGATTTTATTAACATAAAATATCAATTATCATATATTTATACTAATCCATTGAAAGAGGAATAATTTAATTTTATTAGAAGAGAATTCAACATGTCGAATCTTCCAAACGCATGAATTTTTCTTATATAATTTTTTAAATAAATTATTATCTTAATTTCTCATTATTTATGACTTGATTGATCTCTTATGATTTAAATTTATTTTTGATATTAATATCTTTCATGTTATGATTAAAACATTGATGTAAATTTTACACCATTGTATCATTCTCTTCTTTTTGATAATGACAAAGGGGAGAGAGAGAGAAGTGCTAGTTTGCATATCTCAAAGAGAAGTAAAAACTTGCTAGTTTGTATATCTCAAGAGAAACGAAAACTTACTAACTTGCACATCTTAAAATGAAGGAAAAACTTACTAATTTACACTTCTCGAAGAGAAGTAAAAACTTGTTAACTTATACATCTCAAAGAGAAGCAAAATCTTGCTAGCTTGCACATCTCAAGAGAAGCAAAAAATTTACTAACTTACATATCATAAAGAGAAGCAAAAACTTACTAACTTACATATCATAAAGAGAAGCAAAAACTTATTAACTTGCACATCTCAAAGGGAAGCAAAAACTTGCTAGCTTACACATTTCAAAGAGAAGCAAAGAATTACTAGCTTGTATATTTTAAAGAGAAACAAAAAAAATAAAAACTCTCACATTTCTCATTTTTGTTGATGATAAAGGGGGATAATTAAATGTACTTATTCTTTGATTATTTAAAATTTTGATGAATTAAAATTATGCATATAATGATATCTTAACTCTGATGTACTTGATGATTTGGAATTATACATACAATAATATCTTAACTTATGATTTGATATTATGATGCATGTTAGAAAGTATGAAATATATTTCTCTAGAAAACTCGACGGTGGTGTCGCCAAAACACAATCTCCCAGGCTATGTTAGGCGGTGGTACCACCTAGGCAAGCGATGGTACCATCAGTGCTCAAGCTATCAGACAGTGGTATTGCCCAATACAGATGGTGGTATTGCTAGTACCTCAAAAATCTAGGAATTTAAATTTTTGACTTTATTTATGAAGCTATTTGGGGCCTATAAATACCCTCTCATATTTGCTTGATAAAATATGAAAAGCTTATGATTTTTAAGTGTTATAAACTCTTGAAAAGTGTTAAGTCTCTTATTCCTTGAGTCTAAAAATTATTCTAAGGGATGTGAGAGGTTATTTGTAAAAGAGAAGTGTAAAGGTTCTCTCCTAAATCTATAAAAAAAGAAAGAGTTATAATAAAGATAGTTGATTTTCGCCCATCGAAAGAAGATTGGTAGTGAAAGCCAATGAGTTTGAACGAAGAGAAATTGAGAGTGGACGTAGGTTAGGACGACCAAACCATTATAAATCGATTTATATTTCTTCTTTTGTCTTAATTTATTATTACATACTGATTTACTTATTAAGCAATCCTTATTTGCACTTTTTGTTAATCACATTTTCGATACGGATTCATTAATCGAACTTTCAAATCAAAATTTTTTGAAAACACTAATTCACTCCCCCTCTCTTAGTAACTTTACGATCCTAACGATTACTCCAATCATTTACGAAGAAGGAGAAGAATGAAATAAAAAGAAATATAAAATAATTTAAAAGATTTTATTGAAAGTAACTGATGAGTTGAAAATATTAACATCCATTTACAAAGAGATATCTTAACAATATTAAAATTTTAAAATAAAATATTTTAAATCACAAAAACAGGGGTTATTAATTTTTTTAAAAAAATCATAATGATTTTTATCGGATGACACCCTTATATTCGTTTTTAGGAGGGGTGCCCCTTTTTTCTATTTGAACATAAACGCTCTTACCGTTTACATTAAATGATCCAATTTGGATCAAAATATTTCTAAACCTCTAATCGAACTTTCCTCGTCCTTTTCGTCCTCCACCACATCCTCCTCATCCACCTCCGTCCCCTCCTGTTCCTTGTCTTCTCTTCCTTTTCATCCTCCCCCTTTTGTCTCAGCCTCTTTTCCCTTCATTATTGCCTCCTCCTCCACCAATCTCCTTCTCCTGCTCCTCTAAATTCTTCTACTCCTCCCCAAATACTTTCACATAACTATTATGATATAATTATAGAAGTTCAACACATAGAAAGGTTGATTTCACATTATAAATCATGTCCGACATCCTTCTTCATACTACATCTGAAGTCCACGAGGACAAACTCAAATCTGAGCTTTATTTCATCTTTATTGTCCCTTTCCTTGATCTCCAGTGACATACTATATTAGCTGGAGTTTAATGACAGATTTGACTGATTCTTTTTATATCACAAGAAATGCCTGTAACTCGTCATGGGGAAGCAGACCTTTGGAGCATGTACCATGGCATATCCTAAGTTTCCAAGTTTATATACCATCACAAGATTCTATATGAATGCCACGATGAATTAGATATTAACATGTTCAACCCCACCTACTTCTCTATCATAGTTGAAGAACACAGCCAAGGGTTGCTGACTTTCTCTGTCTTGATGAGGCGATTGGGTGGGCCATTCACCATCCTTTCCGAATGAGAACGAGACAAAATCTTACAAGATGACATCCTTTCATTATCTGCACAACTGGAGCCGCAGAAGCAAGCAAATAATAATATGCTTATCTCCCCAGAATAATGCAATTAATTCTTTTTCCAGACCACATTTGCATCCTTTCTTGAACCAAAACCTGTTCTTAGGTTGGCCAAAATCATTATATATGAATCTGCACTGATATATGCAACGCACCGTATCAGATTGATCTTGACAAAAGAATGCCAAATTATGCAATATAAAGTGACATGATAGTCCCAAAAGTAAGGTTTCTTGAGGGAAAAACAAGTGTTTTTATTTCCTTTTTACGTATTTGTTTGGATCAAATGCTAGAGTACTTTACCACATTCACTCAGTTGAATGCTGATCCAAAAACTTTTTCTTCGTGGATGAAGTGCAGCTGACTGATGGAGGGAGAAGTGACATATCATGCTTCCTATATCTGCGACCTGCTTAACACTCACGCAGCAGCATGAAGTTAATTCATGACATGTTCCAAGTTTGATGCGTTTTGGTTTCCTCGAGGAAAAGATAACTGTTTCATCGGGTTGATGCTGCAAGGAGGCAGCTTTCATTGAATGGCCATATGTACCATTTGGCTACTTTCTCACCAAAGAGGGCGTGACTTGCCAGGCATATTGCATGGTTTTAGTCTTGATTTGACAAACTTGGCCAATCACAGTTCAATGCATACTGGGAGTGATGGGGACGACGCCACTGAAGTCTCTACAGCGAGGACACATCGTTCTTCTTTCGACTCGGTGTGTTCTCATCCGTCGTCCGGAGCCCTCCGAGACACGGCAATGGGAGATCTACAGGAGGCAATGATACGCCTTTCTGTCCACGTTTGACTCGTCTGTTCACTGATAGAACTTGATCCACCTTTGGGCAATAGTCTTCGGATTTGTCTCCTTCTTTGCAGTAAAGAGAAGCAGAGGGTGATGATTCCCAGTCGTCACACATTTGCACGTTCAGATGTTGGCACTGACTGTGCTGCCATCGTAAGGAGCAGTTGCTGAAGGTGTTATAAGAATGTAGATATATCTATCTAAAGCCAACTGTGATGCAATCTTGCTTGAAATGACCTAGCATGTTCTTGGACTATGAAGGAAGAGTTCTAGTAAGAGAGAGAGAGACGACAGAGAGAAGATGGCAAGAGCAGGTAAAGTTGACGGAACACGCGGATACGCTGTCAGTACACATCACTTCCTTCGGAGGTCTGACGAAGTCGAGGCTCCCATCGGGAGTCCCTTCCACCGTCCAATCTCCAATTTGAGACAGCTTGTTTGCGACCGGAGGCAGCAGAAGGCCGAAAGAGAAAGCAAAATGAGGACAGGTGGCATAAAGGAAGGCGAGTGGGGGAGGAGTTCGGAGTACGTTGCGTGCTTTTTGCCTTCACATCTGTTCCTCGACTTATCTCCGCACGGTATGGATAAAGGGCGCCCCTTTCTGCTCCCCAAATGGTAGCTAATAGGCGTTCGAGCAGCCTCTTGGAGCTCCGTGTCACGACGCTGGCGAGCCGTGGAAGGGACCGAGGACGACGCTGGCTGGCTCCGAGCAAAGCCGGAGCGCACGGTCGTCGCGGGGTAGCTTGAGGGAGATCGTGGAGGAGCCGATGGAGTCGTCCGCGTCGCCGCACGGGGAGATGAAGGATGAGGACAGGGTGTACGTGGCGGTGGAGAAGGACGTGAGGGAGGGGAGGGCCAACTTCGTATGGGTGCTGCAGAACACCGCTGAGGAGAGGAAGATCACCGTCGTTCACGTTCACCGCACGGCTCAGAAGGTCCCTACTGGTATGCTCGCTTCCTTCCTTCCTCTCCAAGAATGCTGCACCCAAAGATCGATCTTTTTTGGCTTTTCCAATTAATTTGATGTCTCACAATTGTACACAATTCAGTAAAATAACATAATAATTTCTTCTTGTTTGTTTAAGAAGATTGTTTAGAATTCTTGTTAGGGCATTTCGCCATTGCCATTGGAGAGAGAGAGAGAGAGAGAGAGAGAGAGAAGAAGAGGGGTGGGGGGTCGGTCATTCACTTTCACATCGAACCTACATGTGAACTTTCTTGTGAAAGGAAGAGCATTCTTATTTCATTCAATAGAACATTGCATTTGAGCTCAAGTTCTCTCTTCCAATCTCAATTGCAGCACTGGGTTGGTTCCCTGCAAACCAGCTAGAGGAGCAGGAGGTTACTGCATACAGAAACATTGAAAGAGAGAAGATGCATAAATGTGTAGATGAGTATCTAAACATGTGCGCAAGTGTAAAGGTATGTTTGCTGCTCCCCAACTATCTTCAGTTCTTCCATTTTTCACTAGGAATAGTGATCATCAATTGTTTTGTTCTTAACTTATAATCAATTATTCATCGAAACATTTCATGTTGACTTGTTACGGAAATTTGGTTCCCGATCATCTTATCTCTCTGATTATATGAAAAAACAAAGGTAAATTGTGAGATTAACAGAATCATCTCTGTTATAAATGAGAGTGGATCATGGTTAATTTCGTCGAGCAACCTCTTCGATTTTATAGGTTCAGAAGGCTGAGAAACTGGTGATCGAGAGGGATGATGTCGGAAAAGGATTGGTAGAGCTCATAGCTTTACATGGTATCACCAAGCTTGTGATGGGAGCAGCAGAAGACAGATACTACTCAAGGTATGGCCGGCAAATGCAAATTCTCCATTGATATTATAAGATTCTTAAATGTTCGACCGGAAGAGAAGAAAAATCTTACGCATTAATGGCCTTTTTAGTAATGGATCATGTGGCTTCAATAATTAGGACACTGAATAGGGGATTATTCCCAAGGCTTTCTACCAGAAAAGAGATTACATCTTCAAGTGAATTTTTTGAGAGATTTATGCTCAGACAACCACTTGGGCCATTTCAATTAGAAATAATTATGGATGACAAAGTGGATATCTGCACCTCTGTCAATTCAATTGATAAAAGCTGATTCCTGCTACCGACTCTTTGTCCGATGCATGATTTGATCTGGAACCGATTGAGACTTCTGGTGCTACTTATATGCAGTACTCGGAACCCAAGTTCAGTTCATCTGACCAAGTGACACGAGATGGAAACCATTCTTTAAGTTGTATTTTCTTTATTTTATTATTATTCTTGCTTAAGAATAGTGGTGGAAGAACCACTTTTAAAATTCTAATGTCAAACAAGGGAAACACATCCCCCAAGATTCAAATGAGCAGCTCCTTCGCAACGAAGAAGACTGCAGGTTGTCTTGTTGACTAGTTTATTTTTAATGATAAGCTTGTGCTATTGTCAACTTCTGGACTAATCTAAAGCTTTAGAATCACAGGAGAATGAAGGCTCCAAAGTCGAAGACAGCTCTTGCCGTGCAAGAGCATGCTGATCCGTCATGCAAGATCTGGTATATCTGCAAAGGAAATCTAATCTGTACAAGGTAAATCCAAACTTTCTGATTTGAATTTGGCCTGTTTTCATCCTTGCAAACCGTTTTTCCAGGTTTTATCTATATGGTCGGACTAATATATGGTCTCTTTTAATCAGCCAAATGAACTGATCAGCTACACCGTTTAGAATGTATGAACCAAAATTTGCAAGTTTCTACCATCCCAATTCATGACAAATTTAAACGTGTAAACTAAGTTTTCAGTATTGTACTCGATGCATGTGTTGAGTTCAACCAATGATAGATATTGCCTTCATCACATTGCCAATTGCAGCCTTTCTTTCCCCTAATAACAAAGTCCTTGTTTTGATCATCCACATCCTCATCGGTACATTATCTTTTAGAGCAAACAACGAATTGGCTTATCCCCCTTCCGATGAAAATATAGGAATTCATCATAAATGGTGGCATCTATAACTCACACACCCATGATTCTTCTTATTATTTTCTTTCTTTCGGTAATGGCCTCTTAGAAAGATAGTTATATTTCCAATAGGATGTAGTCTTTGTTGTAATAACAAACGTTCATAAGATGCATCATTTTGCTTGACCAAGTTCCTTCCTCTTCTTTTCTCGAGGTGAATTTCCTCGCAGAATTAAAACGGAAAGAATCATCTACTGGACCAACTATTTTAAGAATTACTGCCGCTGAAGAGCCATGAATTTCTTAATTTTATATTAAAACTGATTAATACTTGTCATATATTGCTTCGGTTTCCTGCTTCGTAAGCAGAAATCATGATATAGGGAATGTAATCCGAGATACTAAGAGAGGATCAATGTGGTTTTCCTTGCACTATCATTAGAAAATGTCCTGATGTCATCGTACATTTGGATCTTATTCATAGGGATGCTTCTCTTGATGGGCCTATTATAACCCAATCACCAACAGGAACCCCGAATTCCATCTCAAGCCAATCTGAAATGCAGAGATCAAGGTTGTTGTTACATGAAGCACAGGGGAAGCGAGTGAATGTTTCAAGTCTTACACCTATGATGCAAGATCTATTTTCACAAAGGTCAAGATCTACAAATTTTACACCGTGCCCAGAGTTGACAATGTCAGCTTCGCCCGCTGAAGGACTCGTCGAATCGTCAATATCTGGGAGCATAGAAGGCAGCGTTATTGATCCGTGGGATGATATTTCAAGGGGTTCAGAGTTTGCTGAAGCAGCTGGAAGAATGACTTCATTGCCAGTGAAACCCCAGGATGTGGATAAAGAAGATGGGTCGCTCGTTTTACCTTCAGGAGAAGATCTGTTTCGGTTTCCGCAACATGACTTGGTATAGTTTGTTGTGTTTTTTTCTTATTACCTTCTCTGAAGAAATAATTAAATGATTAACAATTTTGTTTGCCATCATCATTTTGAAGAGGATCTTTATGGAAATGGAGCCCAAGCAATTGATCTTTATCCCCTCTCCCCTTGAAAAGGGAACCAAACAGAGCTCTCAGTTGGAGTTCACATAAATTTTAGTGTAGGGTCTGCATCCAGAGCTCATACTAGGTCAAGTGGCAATGTCCAATGAATTGCCATATAGGAATAGTTGTGATGGATGGATGAACAAGCACAATATTTTTTTTAGTAAATAAGACAATGAAGTTAATGTAAAATTTTCTGTCTTTAGGAGGAAAATTTTCCTAAAATTTATTATATATTGCAGCAAGATCGTGGCGTGGACGAGGTCATGCATAAAAGGTTGCAAGCTGCCCTTAGTGAAGCTAAAGACTCTAAGCGTGAAGCATACGAAGAGCTTTTCAAACGGCAGAAAGCTGAAAAAAATTTCAACAACTCTATGCAGAAGGTAAGATGTTCGATTACTAAAGAAGCTTTCATGAGTCAACTCTATGAATTACATCTGTTGTCTATCTGACAAACATATCGGGGTTCCAAGCTGCAGATTGGACTGTAATTAATTCTTTTTTATCTATATGTCTTATAATTGGAGCCCACTAACAAAGACATGCTTCTTTCAGAAATGATTTTTAAAGACATATAGAATTTAAATGAAAGAGATCAAATGAAATAAAAATAATAGTCCTGTCATCTCACACATGATTATGCAGGTCGGAGTAATTGAGATTTTGTACACCAGAGAGGTCAAACTAAGGAAAGAAATTGAAGAGACCCTAGAAAAAGAAAAAGTGGAACTGCTAACACTGAAACAACAGCGAGATGAAATCCATGAAGAGCTCCAGAAAGCACGTCAAAAGATGGAAGAACTACAACCACAGATTTCTGATTCTGAGCAAACTCTCAAGGATGCTAGAGGAAAATTGTCTGAGGCATATAATCACCTCGATTCGATCCGACAAGTGCATGAGGTTATCTGTCAGGAGCGAGACGATGCGGTTAGAGAAAATGAAAAGCTGCATCAGAAGAAAGGAGATGCAACAATCTGCACTCATAGAGCAGAAACCTTCTCAGAGTTTTCCCTTTTGGAGTTGGTGCAAGCGACCGAGAACTTTCATGAATCATCGAAGATCGGTGAAGGTGGATACGGATGCGTCTATAAAGGTTTCCTTCGCCACACGACAGTAGCAATAAAGAGGTTGGATCCTCGAGGCATGCAAGGAAAGACGGAATTTCAACGGGAGGTAAATACTGTCCTATAATTTTTCATACATTTAATACTACAAAGTGTTGTTTCCTAAATAGACATGACTTTGTTTCTGTAGATGGATACTTTGAGTAATATAAGACATCCGAACCTTGTCACTCTCATAGGAGCATGCCCAGAAGCATTGGCTCTCGTTTATGAGTTTCTTCCTAATGGAAACTTGGAAGACCGACTTACTTGCATGGACAATACTCCGTCACTCACCTGGCAAACCCGCATTCGCATTGCTGTGGAGATATGCTCTGCTCTCGTCTTCCTCCACTCCTGTAAACCTCCCAATATAGTCCATGGTGATCTTAAGCCTGCAAATATACTTCTTGATGAGAACTTTGTGAGCAAGCTTGGTGACTTTGGCATCTGGCGTTTGCTCATCCAGTCAATTAACAGCACCATCCTCTACCATTGCACACGACAGCCCAAGGGGACATTTGCTTATATGGACCCTGAATTGCTGACATCCAGAGAAATCACAGCAAAGTCCGATGTCTACTCCTTTGGAGTCATACTACTACGACTTCTGACGGGAAGGCCTGCACTTGGAATCAGCAGAGTAGTACAGGAGGCATTGGATATGAAATGTTTGGATAAGATATTTGATGCTTCGGCGGGAGATTGGCCTTACGTGCAGGCCGAGAAGTTGGCAAAACTGGGTCTAAAGTGCTGTGAGATGAATACGAGGAACCGTCCAGATGCAAAAGAAGCATGGAGGATACTCGAGCCCTTGATGAAGTCTGTCTCATTTGTCAGGTTATCAACTTCATCAATTAGATTAGTCCCAGAAGACAGCAGCAGCAGCATTCCATCTTACTTCATCTGTCCAATATTTAAGGTATGCTATTTCACATTATGTGCATGTATCTTTAGTTGTAGGCACGCTTATAATATTTACTATTGTGCTTTTGTACAAGCCTTTCACAGATAAGAAATTTGACTACCATGGATCAAATCTGCTATTATGGTTTGAATCACATCAGTTTTTACTCCAAAATTCTTTGAACTTTGTACTAAAAAAATCTATGTTCGACAGTTGAGTTTTCGTAAGATAATTCATTCAAGTCATAAGCATTACTACCCAATATGTGCATGACATCCTTTTGTCTATCTACTTATTACTAAAAGTTGTAGAAGCATCTCTTGTGGTTACCATTTCAATTTGATTTCCTACTAACGAATGATACTGCAGGAGATTATGAGGGATCCACAAATTGCAGCAGATGGCTTCACATATGAAGCCGAGGCTATTGAAGGATGGCTTCGTGGTGGCGGAGACACATCACCGATGACGAACCTCAGGCTTTCTCATCACGAGCTAATCCCCAATTACGGCCTTCGTTCTGCAATTCAAGCATGGCTTCAACAGCAAAACTGATACAGTTCCAGGAAAAAGAAGAAAAACTGAAGGCATCGATTAGCTCTTTTAACCGCATAATTTCTCTGGCATCATTAAAGTTGAAGAAAAATGTTCATTGCTGGTACATAAAATGAGTTGTGATGTTTGTACATTTGTACCTTTCCAAACGTTGGCGTTTGAACTGAAGCAAAGATAGCAACAATAATAAGCCTTTTTGTTTCTAATTTGTTCTAACATGAATGCTGTCCTCCTCTCATACTTCAAGCAAATCTTCTTTTCTTCTGCTTGTGAAGTCGAGCTACTTTTTGTCAATACAATGTACACGGCATCCTTTTTCTTCTTGAATGTCTATCGCTTGATAGTACTTTGCCTGCTTATTTCATGAAGTTTTATCTCTCCACAAACCTAAAATGTATTTTTTTTTGTCTTATGAGGCTCTATAAAAGTTCGTGAAAGAGGTCTACAGGAAATGTTTTGCCTCTAACCCACGAGGAACAGAGTCTGATACAGAGGAATGCAGAAAAAATGATCACAAAGTATGATGAAAGCACTCTACTCGGAATTAAACGTGGCCTTAGGAGAAACAGGGATCAGGTGGTCGGCATTCCAAAGAGCGATGGCCATAGCTTGATGGCTTGCGAGTTCGCAGCGGGACGACGGGGAATGCGACGCAAGTGACTCGTTTAACATCGGTCCGAATGGATCCAATCAGCGTCCCGTTAGTTCCCGTCTTATTAAGCACGGATCAGGTGTTGGGTCCCGTTTAAATCACAGGCTTTAAAACCAATCAGATCGTTCCATCTTTTTGTTACGTGATTCTTACGGTCGAGATAGGCCCGTCAAATCTTGCGGACGGCCAAAGTTTGTCCACGAATACAGCAAATGATTTGTGCCCCAATTATATCTTTTCCGGTTTCGCGATGAGACTGTTTGCCTCCGAAAGAGCGAATCCGAGGAGAGAGAGGGGAGACCAACAGAGAGCTCTTTCGCCGAGGAGGTTCCCAGAGCACTCCGTCCGCGATCGATCTCCTGGTATCGATCAATATCACCGGATCTTGCTGTTCCTTCTTTCAATCTAAAAGAGCACAATCTCCTCGAATTTCGCCCATTTGTTCCTTCGTTTATCTTTCATTTTAGATGCAACGATGATCTGTGGTTACATGGAATCCTAAGTACGCAATTCTTCATGATTTACCTTCAACGAAACCCTAATGCTTGCGGAATCCCTTGCAGAAGCCAGACTCTTGATCCTCAGCAAGAAACCCTAACCCTACTCCCTTGGAAGAAGCCTAGGCAATAAGGGAAGGATGTCCGGCCAAGGACAGAGATTGACTGTGGTCCCGACGGTGACGATGCTCGGGGTGATGAAGGCCCGGCTCGTCGGCGCTACCCGAGGCCACGCCCTTCTCAAGAAGAAGAGTGACGCCCTTACGGTGCAATTCCGCTCGATCTTGAAGAAAATTGTCTCCACCAAGGAATCCATGGGTGAGATCATGCGCAACTCCTCCTTTGCCCTCACCGAGGTCAAGTACGTTGCAGGAGACAATATCAAGCATGTGGTGCTTGAGTCCGTTAAATCTGCATCCCTCCGAGTTCGGTCCCGCCAGGAGAATGTTGCTGGCGTCAAGCTACCGCGCTTTGAACACTTTGTCGACCATGGCGCTGGGGATGCCAAGTCGGACCTCACTGGTCTGGCACGCGGTGGCCAACAGATTCAGGCTTGTCGTGTGGCCTATGTCAAGGCAATAGAGGTCCTTGTCGAGCTTGCTTCCCTTCAGACCTCATTCCTTACCCTCGACGAGGCCATTAAGACTACCAACAGGAGGGTCAATGCACTTGAGAATGTTGTCAAGCCACGGCTTGAAAATACAATTAACTACATCAAGGGGGAGCTTGATGAACTTGAACGAGAAGATTTCTTCCGTCTTAAAAAGATCCAAGGGTACAAGAAACGTGAGATTGAACGGCAGCAACAGGCTGCAAAGAATTTTGCTGAGGAACAATATGCAGAGAAGATCTCGCTGAAGAAGGGAATCTCAATAAATTCAGCTCACAACTTGCTCACTGTTGGTGTTGAGAAGGATGAAGATATAATCTTTTGATGCCATATAAATCTTTAGCATCCTGCGGTTGGTATCGCTAACTGTTATTTTAGATAATGCTTTTAATTTTCTCTTGTGGTTAGTGATCGATCTTTTGCATAACAAATCTGTATTGAAATATTTCTTTGGTTAGCTTCTAATAATATTGGTTTTGTGTCTTTAACAATTCACAGATGTGCTAGACTACAACATACCATTATCTTCGTATATATAGAACTGAACAATTTTAATTGCAATCAGAATCTCCATCGGTTTGGCTTTTAGATTTTTCTAGTCTTTGTTGCATACGATTAGATGAAACTAAGTTAAATAAGACATTTATAATTTCTAAAATTGGAAAATTATTGAACCTATACAACATAGAGAGCTTGGAGAAGTTGACAGGTCTTACAATATAAAGTTATTGTGCTCCTGATTAATGTTTTGGTTTAGGTTGGTAGGTTGCCAATATATTTGGCCAGTATTGTAAACTACAGTCCAAGAAAAAATGTGATCATATAACCACATTGAAATGGCATATGTGCTCAATGGTTGCATGGAATATCAGAGTTCACACGTGGACATGCAGCCGCATATTCTGTTTGCAAATGGAAGATGTAGCTGCATGTGGAATTTGTAGTCTCAAATGATACATCCTTCTTCCTCATTTTTCAAAATTGGTTTTACTATTACATCATTGTTATCATGCTATAACACATGGCTCATAGTAAAATCACCTGTAAGTTTTTTGAAATGTGCTCCATTCCTTTTTATTATCACTCGAATAGCTTATTAAGTGCTTATGATAAAATTTCAGGCTTGAATAGATTCATAGTTTGACAATAGATTATTATTACCTATCTACAATATAAAGTAGGTCCTACATGTAGATTTGGTATTAAGTTACATACTTCCAATTTATGATGTTTGGGTAACTAGAAAGGTAGCCTAAGAAGTTCTATTTGTTAACAATTAAGGTGTTTCTGATTGAGTATGAAATTAGGTATTGAGGCTTGATATGATATGAATATGACCAAAGGAGACTTAGAGATACATCATGGGTGAATCAAAGAGGAAGATTTATTGCCATATAAACAATAAAATGTGGCATCATGGCTTTACTATTTGTTTCTATGGTGGAAGAAGATCCATGTAGATTACCCTAAATAACTGGGACTTCACTATTTGTTTTTATGGCTGTACTTCCTGACAATAAATTTCTTTTTTTCAGAAATCTGTGCAACTGTATATACTACTGCATGCACTATATGGAGAAGCTTCGAAAAATGCAGGATATGAGCAAATTTTATGTTTATAGAGATTTAGTAAACAGCTAGGAATAGACACGGCATGTATCTTTTCTTGCATCTTTGGAGGGTATAAATTTAATTGCTAGGTGATTGATGTGTATGGACTAATGTTAGTATAAGCAATTATCTTGTCATAGCACTAAAGTTTATTAAGGATGGTTTTTAATTAGAGCCTTAAAGTTTTAAATCAAATTCATGACTATAAGTTCAGCTTGAATCATTGGAGTAGTAACAACCAATTGAATTTGATATCAAGAAATTTGTACATTAACTTTGGTAGGAAATAGCAATCGAAACCTTAATCATAACAAATATTATTTTAGTTTTTGAACTAAAGGATGTAAGTGCTCATTAAAGAATATAAGTGCCCACCACTGACACGAATTATGATAAAAATAATAAAATTAAGGAAACTCAACTTGTTTTCAGATAAATAAAACTTTGCTTCTTGTTTTTAATGGTTAATCAAGCCATCTCCTCAACGGAATTGGATAAAAGATAACAATTCATGATGTCTTTTTGGGTGGCAAAGAGGTGTCTGTTCGGTTACCTGGGTCCATGGAGATGGATGTTCTGTGATGCAGCCCAAGAGTTCAAACCATGGTTAAGTAGGTTTGAACTAGCTCTTTCTTATTTTCTAGGGACTTTTGGCCTTTTTTGCAATATGATGGTGACTGGACTAATTTGAATACTGGAAACAATGTAAAGGTTTTCATCAAATAAAGTTAGAAAGAGGTGGTAGTAAACATGCTTTATGTCTCTGTTTTCATGCATTTGCTTTTAGAAATCAGAATAAAGAGCAAAATCAACAAAGAGGAACTTAAATTGTGTTGTCTTGTTGTGTACCTATCTTCTGGTGCCAGACTACATCTATCGAGTTCTTTATTGAAATTTTGTGCTTCACTGCCTATTGACCTGTAAGGTGGGAATTTGATGAGAGTTATCTTTGACATGCTTATCAAGGTATTTTGTTGAAAATATCTGTTACATTTTGAGCTAATGCAATCTGGAACATGTCGTGTGAAGTTGCCATTACTATGATATTTAATAAATCACCAGCAAATATTGACCAGAACTATGGTAATGAATTTGCTTGATCATGTTTGTTAAGTTAAGAGTTGGGCACTGTCTTCTGGTATTGGTACGTGAACTATGATCGGCCTGACTCAATCTTTTGGGCATAGTACGAGCCCAATTGCAGGACATAGCAGAAACACTCTTTTGGGCAATGCTGTTGCTAATCAACCCAGGAGGTCAACTGGTCCAGAAACATTCTCTTGCCACCCTAATTTGATGTCCTTAGCTTCCATAAGTGAGAGTATGATAAGTTTGTGCTCTTTCAGTAGGAATCAGGGTCTTTTCTACTTTTGGAATTATATACCATGATATCCATGGAACTGAAAGATCTAATGTTTTATACTTTTGGTTCAACAAGCAATAAAAAAATATATATCTTAATGGTAAACTTCTAGAGTTCATATTAATAATTGTTATGGAATTTGAATATCTGGACTCTGAAGCAAAGACAACTATGCATCAGCCCTTGCTGCTGCAAGCTGCAAAGCCTGCTGAAACAACCTCACATCAGAAATCTTTAGACTCTAGACTTTGAAGGATATCTATTAGATATTTTTAACCAGTGATTTCAATAGGTGCTCGGGCGCTCCGCCTCGCTTCACTTCTAGGTGGCGCGCTTCAAAGAGGCGCCGCCTGGGCGCTCGCCCGAGCCCAGGCGCCGGGCGCTTCGGGCGAGCGTCTGGGTTAAACCAGGCGACCGAACCAACGTTTTAGGTCTAGTTCGGTCTCCAATGCTTTAGTTGGTTCAATCGAACCAACTAAAGCACCGATATCAGCAGTCGCTACCCAACCCTAACCCTGCTCGCGTTCACGCTACCGATGTTGCTGCTCGCTGCCGCTACCGCTGCTCGCTCCCGCTGTCGCCACTCCCACTCCCGCTGCCGCTGTCGCCGTTCGCCGCTCCCGCTCCCGTTGCTGCTCGCCGTTGCCATTGCCACTGTCGCCGCTCTCGCTACCGCTGCTCACTTTTACCGCTGTCGCTGCACCCTCGGTCTTCCCTTACACTCCTCTTCCTTCTCTTTCGAAAGTATACTGTTAATAGTATACTATATACTGTTAACCAAGGTCTGTCATACCGAAGCGTACCGCCCGGTACCGGTCCGACAGGTTACTGGTACACGGACCGCTCGGTACGGCTATAGTGCTACAGTATGAAAAAAAAAAAAAAAAAATTGTTCGGTACACCAAAGTGTACCGCTCGGTACGCCCTGATGTATCGCCCGGTACACCGGTACCGTACCGTACCGAGCCCGGGTCGAAACGCCGGTACGGTACGGTATAACAAACCTTGTTGTTAACAGTATACTAGTAACAGTAATGTATTTGTATTTATTAGATTAATGATATATTATTTTGATTTTAATACTATTAAATAATTATATTTATTAATTATATTTATTAATTATATTATATATTTTAATATTTTAGCGTCTTGCTTCGTTCGGGCGAGCGCCTAGCGCCTCGGGCGTTTTTGGACCTTGGCGCCTTTTGGTGCCTAGCGCTTTTTAAATCACTGTTTTTAACATATTTGCTATAGGTATTACTGTCTAATATCATCTCAGTCTAAAATCTTTCTTAGCTTATTGGGTTGATCTAAGTGAGCACCAATTCATCAGTCTGGTTGTGGACCATGAAGGATGGATTGGTCTCATGCAGTTATGGATTCCTCTGATTTAAGAAGTGCCAGTTGGACAATGTAAGTCCTAATTTCATATATGTGTAGATGAACATGTAGTTGCTGGTATAATCTGCATTTTATTTTTAATCTTGACTGAAAAATGGTCCGTACAGCATTAACCATGGTGCTGGATTATTAGCCATGGATAACTGCAGTGAGCTACCCACTGTTTTTTAGGTTGCCCAACAAGCATACTCTTCGAAAGTTGGTATTGGTATAAGTGACGCTAGGATTCAGGGCATTGATGATCAGGCTCTCCTACCAATTTCATTGGGTCATCCTTAGCTCGCCTACCAATGATCACTTATCATGAGATTTAAATTTAATAACCATTTGCATCAAGATGCTTGTGGATGTCACATAGTTATTGTGCAAATCAGAGTTTCTAGTTGACTTTTCTTTTTATATTGATAGTATTTGTTGTTTTCTTTCAATCTTTTGAGTTTTGCAGTACTTTTGATCATCTTTTTCAATGGAGATTTAGAATAAACCTATTTGCAGATCTAACTTCTAGGAGTTTCATTTTAGTTTAATCAAAACTTCTTGCCAAAGTACCAAGTGTCTCCCTCCTTTGTTATTATTGGATCATCATCAGCTAAGCTTCCAAAGGAAGCTTGGTTTTTGAAATTTGGAGAATGTCTATTTTTTGGGTTTGCAATGTATAGGTTCTACTGTCTAGAGTTTTGCTATGGATGAAGTGAAAGATAAATTTTAATTACTAATAACTCCCATGAGACATGACTTCGCAGCTGGACTGTTTTTACAATGATTATGTACATATAAGCATTATGGATTTTCAGAGTGAAGTTGGTTTACACAAACAGGGAAAGTTACATAATTGAACCTGCTTTTTTTTTTTGTTCCGCATTTGAGCTTAGACTACTTAAACTGATTTCATTCTACTTTTTAGTTTTGCAATGTTATCAGTGCTTTCATGCTTATTCTCTTAATCTGGAATTTCAGAGTTTGTTGTTTGATGAGTTATTGTTTTAGTAATTTTAGCTATGTTATATAGAATGACACTGCCATGGTCACCATTCTATTTGGCCAACTAATGCAACTTTTGCATTTTTGTAGAGTGACTGGATGTCACACTACGTGAGGACGCTCACAGCAGCAGTATCCATGGAGATTTTCCCCTACTATTTGTGGCGTACGGTTCAATTACAATGGGTGTGTGAATTTATTACAAAACCTACGTTTGAGGAATCTTATCAGATATTATGGATAGATCTAATAAATAAATCACTGTACTTTCTTGAGTAGTGTATGATGTAGCATGCTTCTATGTTAAAGATTTTACACACTGCACAGTTCATATCGATCAATTTGAAGCTGAAAGTGTTCCTTTTTTCTTTAGTTACAACAATCTTTGTTGCTTAGATTGCATTTTCATCAGTAACGAAAGAAATCTAAGTCATGTAAAGAAGTTTATATTACTCATCCCCCGTTCTTAGATAATGTTGCTCTGGTCATGCAAGTAAGTTTTGCGATTTTAAATCTTCCATCACGTTTGTGATGCAAGTTTTGCATGCTAAAATTCTTTTTTATAACCATTGTTTGTAGGCGATCAGCAGTGATGGGAACTAATATTTCATGCGGCTGAGAGAAAACTCAGCCTGCAAGTTTGGGCTACTGCTTGACTCGGATTTCGATGCGTTTATGATCAATGAGATAGCATTGATTTAAGTAGGACATCGAGCCATATACATAACATGTGACAAACTTAATGTGTCTACCTGTTGCTAGTTTTTCTTATCGCTAACAGATCTCGGATGTCGATCCCATTATGATTTAGATGCCACTGATCTCAACAATTTCATAAATCCAGATATCGATCACCTGCAATTGGATGAATAGTTGTGAGATGTGTTGATAGTTCTTCTCGTTCTTGCTCATCCGATAAAACTATTGAGAATCCTCATCTAGAAACGTTCGACTACTATAACAGATCCGAACTCTCTAAGCTCACGTCTACGGATATCAATGACCAAGACTTCTCGACACCTATACTCATCATCTGCCCCATCGTGCCTTTGTTTATACCATAGATAATACAATATACATACATGGATATATATGTATATATATATATATGTATATATGTATATATACATATATATATGTATATATACACATATGTATCTGTATATGTATACATATACTTACGTATATGTATACATATATATACATATGTATATATATGTATATAATCCCGCCCGTCTCTCCCAGTTCGTCGTCTCCTTCGAGAATTCTCCATCGACAACCGCGTTTCTAGGGTTTCCACCGCCCTCGTCTTCCCCGCGACGCCTCCTTCCGATCTCCCCGATTCCCCGTTGGCCGAGCTCTCCTCCTACCGGTGCCGATCTCTTGAATCCGCATCGAAGTCTCGCCCTCTGCCCGCTTTGTTTCACATTGATCGTTCCTGCGGCGATCCGAGATCTCGCGGTTCGAAGGCGTTGCGGGGTCTCTCCCAAGTTGGATCGTTATTGATCTCCTACAACTATCGTCTTTAGTTTCTGACCTTGGTGAGTTTGTCCTTAGTTTCATCGTTTTGGTTTCTTTTACATTGGAGCTGAACTCCGAATGGTTAGCCTGGTGTCGAACGTCAAGACGTTTGATTTGTTATTATGACATGATATGTAATATTGGGTTCATGTATTGGTACCAGATCAGGGCCCTAATTTGTGATTTGTGCACCAGTTGATGTCTTTTTGGATGCATATCCGATGTTAGCTCGGTTTCAGTTTCATGTTGTGCAGTGTCAATGATTGCTTTCGATAATTATGTATAAAATGTCGTGTAATTGGCAATAAATTTCGGAATCTAAGTGCTTTTGGAGGTTGATACTTAGGTAATTATTTGGGAAGCAGGTTTTTCTTTGGAGATTCTAGATTTGATTGCATTGACACATGTAATGCAACAGTTCCACAATCATGATTGTTTATCCCTGTTACACTCCTTGCTAATTGAAATAATTAACATTTTTCTAATTAACCTTATAACCTTTTCATGGCTGCATAATTGGTTAAAGTCTTCAGCTAATTTTTCATTGATAAAAGTATGTCTTATCAAATGACAACTTATGTAGTATTTTTAAATTAGATTTTGAAGCAAATTTGACACTTCTTCAATAAAGTTGACAAGTCTGTCAGTTAAGAATATTGAGATACTTATTAATTATATAGCTTACATTCAAGTAACTTGTTATGTATTCAGATAACATGTACTGTATGCAAACTGTGAAGTGCATACATTTTCATTCTGTATGGTAGACAGGGTACGTCGTTATGGCATTTAGTGGAGAATGGGCACAAGGTAAGAAGAGAAATAACACTCATGATAAATTAAGAAAGTGGTAGAGGCAATTATTATGATCTGGAATTAAGTAAATAATCCATTTGTTGTTCTCTTACATCTTTTTCTTGCTACTTAATTTGGATATTAGATAGTAACAAGATTACCTACCTAGAAGTTTGTTATCTAAGTTGTAGATTGTGTTTTGAGCCTAAATCTGGAAAGATATTTTAGGTTGGGAAGAAGATGAGAAATGCAGAGATCTCCATGTCACAGTACTTTTGCTTTTTTTTTTTTCTTTTTCTTGTTCCTTCTTTCTCCATGATGCAACTTGCAAATACTTGTGAACTTATGTCAGCACACTCGTCTGAGATGCTAGATGTTATTGTCTCAGTGGAGTTGGAAAAGGCACACTCATCTGAGATCCTTTCTCAGCATTATCTGGCAGTAGTAAGGCAACAACTACTGCTTCTGTTGGTTTAACTAAAGCCACTGTAACTGATGTGGGCATTGGTTGTATGCGGCCATTTAGTTGGCTAGTTACCTAGATCGAGATAGTAGTATATGGTCCTTTAGCTGTCTGTCTAGTGCCTGTGTTATCTAAAATATTGTCGACAATATCAACAATCAGAAATTGTTGATTCATATATTCGTTTGTTGTATATTATATTATTTCCTTTTGTCTAAAACATCTGATCATTCTTGACAGTCGTGTCTAGTTCAATGAATGGATGCTTGATACTTTAGCAGGGTTTATCTGGTAATGCTTATTGTGACAACAAGTACTTATTAGACGAAAAAAGAATTTATATGTTCTTTTGATACTTCTGTGATCTTGGAGCTCTGCTTGTGTATGTCAATGTGCTATTATATTCTGTTTGCAGCATAGCTACTGCAAGTTTTAGAACCATTTCATTGTTAATTATACTTGGTCTTGTAGCTCCTTTCTTGTGGTTAGCCATTGCAATTTGCCAACTAGTTTGTATCAAAGCACTGACAGCAGTACCTCTTTGTCGAGTAAGCAATAGTTTACTTAGATTTCTTTCTGATTTTCTCAAGGGCTGATCATTCTTTTATTCATCTGACATGCCTCGTTGTGTTTTCTGATATAGTTCTTGGATTTCACATTGATTTATGTTTGTGTATTCTTTACAAACAGAAACCAAGCATATTTCTTGCAAAGGTTGAACTTCTTTTTGCTAAATCAAGAGCTTGTGGCGGATTTGGGGAGATGAAACCAGGCAAGGAAGGGCAGGACTCCCTGAACAACATCATTAGACAAGCAATTGATAAAGAAACACTTCTTTCAGTCTGTAGAACTGGTGATAATCTTGTTCACTGGATTCATTTACTCCAATGCTCTAGACCAGTAGGAAAGCAGCAATTTTTCTAAAGATTAATTGTTGGACAATTTTGTAGGAGGAAAGGATAGCATTCTTGAACTTTGCAAAGGTGAGACTGCTGGCATGAGTGAGGCTATGGAAGATAGTTGTTCTTCAAAGGATAGTGACAGCACTATCAAGGGGACTAAAACCTCATCTGAACAGATGCAAGCACTCAAAATTCCTGAAGCTGTTCTAGCCTTTGCTCAAGCTGCTGCAAGGGCAAACGGTGAGCCTGAAAAATGTATGTCAAGTCTCTAAAGAAGGTATTTGGATATAACTAGCGATAGGTTATAATTCTTGCTAAATCAAAGTGGGTTTGTTCATGGAGTTAATAGATGAACCCTATCTTAATTTGCCAGATCTTCCAGGATGGCCTTTGTTCTCACCAGCTAAGGTGCAATTGCAGAAATGTGAAAAGTGTTCTCGAGAGTTTTGCTCTATGATAAATTATAGAAGACACATACTTGTGCATAGGCGTACCTTAAAGATTGATAAGGTCTTATTCTCCACCCTATCTCCCTTTCGCAGCATGGCCTTCATTAACGAGATCTCCTTTTAAAGCATTATTATTGTCTTTAACCTGAACATGGATGCCTATAATAATAACTAATCGTTTGTTCTTTTGGAATTAAACTACTTATAAATTTCAAAAAAGAAATCAGTATGTCTTTCTGTTCTTGTTCTTCGAGCATTTGTGGAAGTTATAAATTAAGATGTCATCTGCAAATAGTTCACAATTCCATTTTCCCCTATTCTTTGGTCATTTGCATTATTGCCTGGAGTCCTATACTATCTATCTATACGTCCACAGGTTTTCTATCAAAAGAATCCTGCTAAAAGATATTGCATGAACTATTTGTTTATCTATCATTATTCTTTTCTGACTGAGTTTTATGAACATACCAGAATTGAGCATGTAATTGATCATATGAACTTCCTTGGAACAATTTGTTCTTTCACATCATAATAAGATATCATTTCTGTTATTTATTTTTTAAAACTTTTAACTTTTGCATATGGTTTTTCTTGTTTATGGGTGGTTACAATTTTGTAGGATTTTCCAAGGAACAGGGAGTATTTGGGTGCCTTCTGGGATAAGGTAATACTTTGCTTGAATTTGGAATATAAACTGTAAATATGGCTAAGCAAGTTGAAGCATAATATCGAACTTTCACTGATGACACCTATTCATACGAGCAGTTGGACTTGGATTTGGTCTTGGATCATGCTCAGTTATCAGCCATATGCAACTGTCGTTTAGTTTGCTCCTTTTTTCTCTCAGACACTAATTCTTCTTTGCATGTTGTAATTTCAGCTATCTTCGGATAAGGCCGAAGAAATTCTTTCTTTCACAAACATGTCCATAGAGGTGATGTTTTCACTTCAACCTTTTGAAAAGAACAAAAATTAATTCAAATGTTTTTCTTGTTTTTTGTCTACATAAACCTTTAGTAGAGGTGCATAGATGTATAAGTCCAACAGAGTTTTCACTTGGACACTGTCATCCAAAAAAAAGAATGTCAGACCATCTAGACTCGTACTCTCTGCAGATTAAATAATAATTTAAAGGTCCTTTTTATGGAATTTTTTAATGATAAATAAATGGATATATAAATCTAAATTGTGAAAGACATGATTGCATTAGTTGTAATCTTATTCTTTATAAAAGTGACTACATCAAAATCATCCTTTCCAAATTTCCACTGTGAGAATTTAGCAGCAGGGTTTGACAAGCAAACCCTATCACTTTCCACAACAAAAAAGGAAATAAAAGTTAAATAAATAAAATCAATTACATAACAAAAAAATTTCCTTCTCCCCTTTTGCACCTACTGAGATGCACATTAGTTTATTCCATAGTCACTTTAAATGAACTCTATTGGGCATCATCATCTGTGTCATTTTGGAAAATTGAGAAGATGCATGCTGATGATGCACTGGCTTTCTTGAGAGGACTCTGATAAATAGCACATTTTCAGGAGGTTAGCGGTGCTTCAATCATAAGGGTATTGTCATTGTGGATTGGAAAACCATTCTTTCATTCTCTACCGCAAACATATGCAAAGGCTGGATCTGCTTTATTGGTAATGGGCATAATCTACTTATAGCAGGCTCTCTATGCATTTTTATCTGCATGTCACAAGTACCATTATCGAACTATGATGATTTTGCAGGATGTGATCCAAGCAAGGCCTGCCAGCTCACCGATATGCTCCAAGAAACTCTTTAGTATCCTTGATGATGCAAGTGAAAATACTTTTTTGTGCACTGGCACAGCTGTGTCCTTGCAGAAGTTTGTGTTTGACGGTGAAGTATCAAAGATTGCACTGGAAATGAAAAACCTCATTGCTTGTATTAGTTTCTTGCTTGAGCAGAAACTGGTATGGTGAAGTCCTCCATATTTTCATGTTTTATTATCGTTTTACTTGTTGCGAGGAAGAAGAAAAGTCTTGACCAAATTGATCCAATTTACAGGTCAAATCATGGGTTGCTGACAAGGATGCTGAAGCTTTAAGATGCCACAAGTTGCTCATGGAGGAAGAGGAAGCTGCTCAGAGAAGGTAATCGGGTGATTTAACATGTGACTGAACCAACATTGTTATAGTGATCTTATATATCTGATTAAACAAAAAAAAATGTTGGGTAGATTTTTTTGATCTGATTTGACTTTCTTATTTTGTTAATTATTAATTTTTGTGTCCATTCATGAAGATGCCTTTCTAGGTTATAATGCAATTTCTAACAGACCATTACCAAAGGTTTGCATCAATCATTATTTTTGAAGCTCATGGTGAAAGGGTGACAATTTAGTCACCTTTTCTAAAGATTGGAGTCCTACCTTCATTTCTTGTTTTATTAATCAGTTAATCAGCAATTTTGTGGTTCAGATAACATGTAGTTCTTGCCTGTGGCAGCTTCACTACAATTGAACTCTTTGTGCACATGCCAGGTTGAGAGGTTAAAGAAAAAGGACAAAAAATGCATATGCTTGCTTCCTGTCTGTTCTTTGTAAAATTTTTTTAATAATGCTCCAAAGAAGAGTTTCAAGTATTTCATTGACATATGAAGTTATGTAGTACCCCAGAGTCTTTGATCATTAGTTTTCTTATAAAATATTTATGGGTGAAAATTTGTGCTAGAAGGCCCTGCTTTAGATAACTCGTTTAGCGTTTCTACAATTAACTCAACACATCAAATCAAGCTATTACTAGATGTAGAATAATTTGGAATTATGACTGAGAAGAGTTTGTAAAATTGGAGTTTTGTAAATCGGCTTTACTTTCTGTCAGCCTTGAAGTGCTCCCTATACCTTGGTCGACCCTCTACATTCCTGAATGATTGCACCCTGGTAAAATGGTCAAATGAAACTTGATAATTTGTGAATTTAAGAAGTCATTCAAATGATTCTGTTTGTAGAAACAGCTAATCGGATTTGAATATCTTTCACAATTTAATTTAGCAATCATATTTGCACTTTAAGGTCACGCTTTCAGCTGTTGCGGAATTGATTATTACTGTAATTCAATCTGGAAGTAATCATGGTTGCATTATAAAGGCGTTTTGTATAGTCCCTGACAATGCTGGGCTTGTATCCTTCTGTGACTATCTGTGCGGACCATGTTAATTATGTAACTAATGCAGGCAATTTAGATTCAAATTAACTTGTTACTTTCTCACTATCACTGCTATCAAATGCTGTTTTTTCATGCCAGCCAGTAGACCAACCTTTGCCTGGCAGATGGCATATCATATCCTGACTCATAAATGCTGATTCGTTATGGCATGTATCAGTGATGTAATGAAAACTATAAACTTTGTGTTGATAACAGTTGGAACCAGTTAGCTCATGATTTTAGAGTACTAGGAAGCAACCATGTTGTGAATTTAAGTGTGTTCTGTATGTACCCTTTGGTTAAGTTTATTGTAGAATCACACACTAATAGTGATAATAGTTTCTTTTTTGCTTTCTAATTTTTTCTGTAGATATATATATTTTTTTTTCTTTTCTGTGGCTATCTGATAATCATGAGAAAGGATATCATTCATGGTTGCAGAGTACCTAGGTTTGATCTTTGTCTTTTTCTTGATGAAAAATTGACTTGTTGATTACAGGCAAGCTGAACTTCTGGAAAGGAAAAGATTGAAGAAACTTAGGCAGAAAGAACAGAAAACAAAGGACTTAATTGGTGTAGAAAATAGGATCGGTTCAATTAGAAGTACAGACGGCAAAACTGAATTCCCTGGGAGATCAAGTTCAAGGACTTCATCTCATTCAGATTTGAATACCCCAGCAATATCAGAAAACCAAGTCCATCATTTTACTCCATCATTGGACCCTGTTATGGCTACCGACTTCAGGATGCATGTGGATACCGAGGTTGCAGTTCAGTATATTGTTCAAAATCAGATGAATGACAAACAACATCCTGTTTCCACGCAGCATTTACTCTCCAAACCAAAAAAAACCATTAAAAATGGTTTTGGTACATTTCAGGTCCCTGCTGCAAAATTTTCAGGTCCAAAAAAAAATGGTCTCTATAAGGACACAAAGGCCGCTTCATCAACCACTGGTTATAAGATTTGGACCCAGAAAAATAGGCGAGAGGAGGTGCCATATGACAGAATGGACAAGATTCATCCAGATCATTCGGTTTATGTTGATGGTTCGAAGGTTATAATTGGTTCAATATGTGTAGCACTTGGAAGCAGTGATAGATCTAAATCTTCTCAAGGGAAGCTGGTCAAGCCTTGTACTAAACACAACAATGTCAAATCTTCAACAGGAATGCTGTGGAAACCCGTGGGATGCCATGAAAGTGGGTATGAATTGACAACTATATCTGATATGAAGGACTATAACTTGGATGTGTCTTTGGCCAAAAATTCTGACCAAGTTTCTCCCAGCGAGACCCATCTTGCTTTAGTTGAGAAGAGAGACAGTGTTCCTGGGGCACAGCAGGACTCTTTGGCAGCCCAAACAAGTGCAGGGCCATTGTTGTTCTCAAGCAAAATTGCTGAGGCTTTTCTCACAGAGAGTAAGAATTTTCTCTCATTAATGTCCCTCCTTTCTGAAGTATGTGATCCGTACCCTCTTTAACTTAATCTCTGTGAACAAGTGAACTGAACCATATCTGTTGTACAGCAATGTTGAGTGAAAAAAATAATGAGTCTCTTTTTTATGCATGGTGATCAACTAGGTGTGCATTGTTTTGTATTGATCATAGTGTACGAATCTGATAAGCTTATAATATTATGCAGGATGGAAGGAGGCCATTGCTGCAGATCATGTGAAGCTAGTTCTACCATCTGAAACTGAAGCATATGATAGCTGTGATAATCCCCAGTATGATTGCTCTGAGGAAAGGCCACATTCTTATGATTGCCTTGGACATGGCAAATTTGGTAGCGGAGAAAAAGGTGGGGTGCCTGGAATGGATTTGATCGAATCTTCATCCAAGCCTAAATTTAGAACAAAGCCCGACAAAAATTACAAACTAAAATATGTTGCGAAGCAACGGAGTACTGCTTTAGGTGAGTAGATTGAGGTGGAATAATGGGTACAGTTTCAGTGTAAGATGCAGTCTATACACAGAGGCACCAGTTTTAGCAGAGGTCTTCTGTTATTTTATGTCCCTTGAGCAGAAGTAATTGGAAATGTTTGTCTAAACTTTCAAGGCTTCTCTCCTTTGTTTCCGGCAGACTGGTAGTCTGTAGGCGCAGTTTAATGTTGTAATAATCTGCTCCCATTGTTCTCCTGTTCAGTTTGTTCCAAATGTCAATTTCTAGATTCTCTCAGATTTCCCATCATAGTGCAATGGTCGAATTTGTTTGTCCACCTTTTTCTCCTCTTTTTCGTTTTTTTTTTTTTTTTTAATTTTACATGGCATGATTTATCAATGCTGCCACATGACAGAGCATCTTGTTGTCGTTTGGCAACCATCTATTATATATTATAAAATGGTCATGTTATCAGAGGCCGAAGGTTTGCCTTTGCCAGAGGTCCCTCGCCTGCCCTACAAACCCAACCTCGAAGAGGAAGATTCATATTAATGTTCGTTCGGAGGTTACCTCCTCCTCGTTAGGCGTTAGTAATATAATTCTTCTTCCTCGAAACATCACCGTAACTGTGTGTGCAACCAGGAAACGTGCTTGTTGGGGCCCTTATGCTCGACGCGTGGCACGACCGCAAAAGGTCCTATTTGGGCAACGCGTGGGCCAAGCGCGGTGTGGAAATGTTTGTTTTAATCGTAGAGTGGTGGTTGTGTGTGTGGTTTTTGTTTCGCTGCCAGCAAAGAACCTTTGGCTGTTTCTTCAATCCGTGGGAGGAGGAATACCTGCGTCGGCAATATGCTGACATTTCAATGTCATCTCCACCTTCTTTTCTTGTCTGCAAGTGAATGGTCCAAAGAATCTATTGAGAACAAATAGTTTGCTTAATCTAAATCATCGACCTGCAATAATTATTCATTTATCATTATAAAAATAACTATTATTATTATTATTATTATTATTCTTCTTCTTCTTCTTCTTTGGCTCGCTGCGACGGTTCGTAAAGAGCAGGTCATCTCCTGGTAATAATGCAATCCTTTACGACGTGACGCAGGTTAATCAACGCGAGATGAAGAATCAAACATGGCGATCAAGGTAGCATTTGTCTGATATCAATCGAACGTTCTTGTTGATCGAATCAACCATCAATTCCACGAGGAAGACACGACACGATACGACTCTGTCATCTGCACCGCCAAAGACACTAGTGTATTTGACGACGGCCAAACATTGCTATCAGTGGCCACTGTGACATGTGAGGCGGTCGAGTGTGACACGAAGTGGTAGGAATCCTATTTCACGTCCAATATATATATATATATATATATATATATATATATATATATATATATATATATATTCAAAATATTTTTTTAAAAAAATTATAAATAATTATATATATATATATTCAAAAAAAATTTAAAAAAAAATTATAAAATAATTATTTATTCTTTGCCTCGATCAATCTTGTTGTCGCTACCCCTATGCAGCCAGCTATGGCAATGATCTTATCAAATCCTTCCTTATGCATAAAAGATACAAGCGAGGGAGGACGATAAAAGCTATCATCGCAACACCTCTTTTTTCCTTGCACCAGAACTGTCTCTACCTTCGTGAACCCCATCAAATCCTTTTTTGCGTGTAAAACTTGTAAGATAAGGATAATAATGATTTACAAAGGTAATGGTAAGTCCAACGAGATTAAAAAAAAAAAAAGAGAGAGAGAGAGATAAAAATAAATTGATTGCGAGATGATCCATGAAATTTTTGAAAACTTAAAACGTTATCCAAGAATTTATCAAAATAATTAAAAAAAATCACCTATATACATAATTAACCCGATAATTTGAATTAAATTTTAGAATTTAAAATATAAATCATTATGGCTACAGCCAACGTGGAATCCCAACTTTAAACGCACGTCCTCCCTTCGCTCCGCAAGGCCGCAACGGTCGTCTCTCACTGGGAAGCGCTTCCGACGCAGCGAAGTTTCGTTCATCATCCCTGCTTTTGTCGTGTCCTCCCTCCTCCTCAGCTCACCCACGGGACGACGAAGAAGCGGTAAAGAGGAACGCAAACCCGCTTCGCCTCGAGCCGAGCGTCGGGAAAAGCTTTTGCCATTCTTAACCTCGACGTAGCCGAGCTGCTTTACGGAGCAGGTCAAAAAGCAAAAGCAGATAGATGGTAAAGAAAGAAGCCTCGAGGCCACAATTGCACGCCATGTTGCCATCAGGGAATCATCCCTATCTATCTTATTAGCACTGTACTCCATCTCCGATTAGTCTCGTGGCGAGACAGCACAACCCATCTGCTACCACGCCACCCCGCCTCTACGCCTATAAAGCCCCAACAACACCCTGATTCCTCCACTCAACGAGTCTGTCGTGCTTGCCTTTACCACAAGCAAACAGGAAGATGGAAGGGAAAGAGGAAGATGTGAGGTTGGGAGCAAACAAGTTCTCGGAGAGGCAGCCGATAGGAACGGCAGCGCAGAGCGACAAGGACTACAAGGAACCTCCACCGGCTCCCTTGTTCGAGCCCGGGGAGCTCACCTCTTGGTCCTTCTACAGGGCTGGGATAGCGGAGTTCATGGCTACCTTCCTCTTCCTCTACATCACCATCCTCACGGTCATGGGCGTGGTCAAGTCCAACAGCAAGTGCTCCACGGTGGGCATCCAAGGGATTGCCTGGGCCTTCGGTGGCATGATCTTTGCCTTGGTCTACTGTACCGCCGGGATCTCTGGTAAGGGATCTGCTTTCCCTTCCATTTGGGTCTCTGAAACCTTTTGGTCGACTCACTTCTGCTAAATCGTCAGGTGGCCACATCAACCCCGCGGTGACCTTCGGGCTGTTCCTGGCGAGGAAGCTGTCGCTGACCAGGGCTCTGTTCTACATGGTGATGCAGTGCCTGGGCGCCATCTGCGGTGCCGGTGTGGTCAAGGGGTACCAGAAGGGGCTCTATGAGAGCAACGGTGGCGGAGCTAACGTCGTGGCTCCTGGCTACACCAAGGGTGATGGCCTGGGTGCTGAGATCGTCGGCACCTTCATCCTCGTCTACACTGTTTTCTCTGCTACTGACGCCAAAAGAAACGCCAGGGACTCTCATGTTCCCGTGAGTACATGTCCAAGTTCTTGATGTTGACCATGGTTGATCTGATCTAACAAGTGTTACGGATCTGTGCAGATTTTGGCTCCCCTCCCCATTGGGTTTGCCGTGTTCCTTGTCCACCTGGCTACCATCCCCATCACCGGCACCGGCATCAACCCTGCCAGAAGCCTTGGCGCTGCCATCATCTACAACAAGAAGCATGCCTGGGATGATCATGTAAGTGTGTCTGTGGAACCCTCACAAGCCTCAGATGACACTACTTACTAACTGTCCTGTTTCCTTGTCTCAGTGGATCTTTTGGGTTGGACCCTTCATTGGAGCTGCTCTTGCTGCCATCTACCACCAGATAGTCATCAGGGCGATCCCATTCAAGAGCAGGCCCTGAGAGAGCCTTCCATCTCCTCTCATAATCACCTGTCTCATGATTCTGTGTGCCTTTCTTTTATCATGGCTTGTTTCTGGCTTGGAGTGTGTTCCAGAACTGTGATTTGCACAGCACTGTGGTTGTCGATCAAGAGTGTAAATTAAGTACTGATGCATGTCGTTGTGTCTCTCAATCTAAGTATGTGGTGTTTGCCAGCTTCCGAAGCATATTCTCTTGTCGGGAAACCTTATCTCTTTGCATATATTTATTAACATCTTCATCTTATCTCACCAAAGTTGGAGTGAAATAAAGTAATGGAAAACAAGGGAAGGACGGAGGTAAAAGAAAGATCGAGCGAGTGGCATACTCTCAAAGCAATGATGGTGGCCAGTGCTGGCAAAGATGGACGATGATGGTGGGTGATGGGGAGAACCTTTAGGTGGGATGTGATGGGAGCGGCGTGGTAGGCCAACTGCTACATGGGGGCTGCTGCTAAAGGTGTGGTTCTGGCAGCCTGGTTTTCCCACCCGTCCAAAGCAGTGCCTCCCATGTTCCTTTTGGCAAAGCAGACGGGTTTTGGTGGGATGAGGCCATGCACGAAGAAGATGCTTCTGCCTTGCAACTGAAAGCTTTGGGACTTGGGATTCTTCAGGGCACGGTCTTTGGGGACGAGGATGACCTGCCACACCTGTGTTCTATGCCTCTTCGTCTGCTCTTTGAGACACCCCACTGTTCTTCACGTTCTTCTCCACAGGACAGACACCTGCAAGATTTTCTGCATGATTGTTTTGAAAAAAAAAGCATTTATTTGCATGTAGACCAGAGAAAAGATAAATTCAATCTTATTTGGGTTTAATTATAATTACTCATTGGATTTAGATTTTTTATTAATTTTTAAATTTTAAAAAATAAATTTAAATGATAGATAAAAAATAATTTTAATATTTTAATTACGTTTTCGACGATGATAGATGATGATACTATTGTGAATTAGAAGAGAGACAAGAGGTGAGACGACGATGTAGATATCAACACTCTACATGTATGTTAGTGCCTATGAAATTGGCAAGCGACTCTAACTCAAACGTAGAGCGTTGACAATAGTTACTCATGACTCCCAATAACATTATCATTCGTCATCATTGAAAATATAATTAGGATATTAAAATTATTATTTTACTTATTTTTTTGTGTTTCCGTCGATGAAACCAATGACATTATGATAAATAGAGCTAGATGTTTCACTTTCATAATTATAGAAATTCTAATGTAAAATTGATAAGTCTAGACACTAGGGTCTACTTAATTAGAAGGGATAGCATTTAATTAGCCCTTTTTATAATTAAAATTTTATCTTTCTTAATTTTTTTCCTTACAATAATTATAAAAGTCATAGGTTCACAATTGTCTTTTTTTTTAAAAAAAAATCATATAATATTCTGTGCTATCTTTTGGAACCCTCTAAACTCATTTATGAACGTAAATTTATAAAAAAAATAAAAACCTATTTTAGGTAACTATATTTTTTGTGCGAATATATTATGCTTGTGGATGTGCTTTGCCAAAAAAGATATGGCTTTAGTGTTTTTTTCTTTGGGGGGATATAGTTGGATTTTCTTGACTCACTTAAATCATATTATTGTATTCTTAATTCAAACCTAAAACTAGATTGGATGAAGAGAAAAAATATATCAAGGCAGGATCGAATTAGGGTAATAAAATGAAATTTATTTGTATCATGTTCGTTTCCATTCTATATTTACTTTACCCAATGAAATCGGATTCATTTCCTTTAGATTTGAATTATGTTTGGATAGAAAAATGAATACTCGAGTTAGGATTAATTGCTAAGCTTCAAATTAATAGCAATTGTCGAGGAATTGGGTATTTCCTAAGAAGTCAAAACCTAACATCATCTCCAATAATATTATTTCATCATTACAATACCATTGTTCGTAAGTCTATCATCCAATTCTATTCAAATCAATCATTCAAAAATAATAACAAGTCATTTAAATTTTTTGACCTAAAAACTGATATGAGATTATGGCTATTAGATATTTTAAAAAATAAAAATTCATTTTTTTTAAGATTTTCTTCAAACAATTACAAATGTAGATTCGACGACATCGACGTGTTTGACGGGTAGTAATCTCCACAGGATGGCGTAATCATGACGTCACGCATCCTCCGGTTTTTCATCAAATCTGCACCGTCGGATGAAAGAGAACACGAATCTTCTGCCACCGGAAACCAATGCCCACCCACTCCGATCTGGTCCGATCACGCTGACCGACACAGATGACAACGTCGCGATGCGGCCACATTAGTCTTCGCTCTCTCGTGGACACATCAAGTGGGATGATGCGGCTTCGTGCGTTCCTTCCTCGGTACTCTGCTCCAACAGATCGGAGCACCGATATAATCCCCAAAACCTTGTCGGCAAGATCGTGGACAGAGAGACCAAAAGGGGAGAAGGGCGAGACGGACGGAGAGGGAGATGTGGCCGTTCAGCCGGAAGGGGGCGTCGGGGTTCTCCTGGTCATCCACCGCGGAGGAGGTCACCGAAGGATTAGATGGGAGCGGCCTCACCGCCGTCGTCACAGGTCCGCCAGATCTCCCTTTCTTGTTTTGTTGATTCGGAAGTTGTTTAGCTTCGCTACTCTCTCGGGACCTCTCTCTCTCTCTCTCTCTCTCTCTCTCTCTCTCTCTCTCTCTCTCTCGCTCTCTCTTGATGCGGCGTTTGTAGCAGATTATCTCGTAGGATGAAGTAATTATGGAGTGCCGTCGTAGAGGAGAAACAATCAAAGCTACGATGACATGGAGAATCGTTAGACATACCTCGATGTTTTGGACCTAATGCTCAATTGTTCGGGATGGGTATCATAGGACGAGGAAAGATTGCCTTATATGTCGTAATAGAGTTCGTGGTCTTCAATTAAGCGGCTGTTATTGTTGGGTCTGCTTTCTAATTGAGCTGCAAGATTGATTTGGGGGTGCTGAGAATTTTGATTTTGATATCTGCTATTTCCTGTGAACCACGCTGTCATATAGCATACAACAGTTCCTTTTGTGTGATTTAAAATATTTTTGAAGTAGTTCTATAGCTAATCGCGGACCTTTTCCTTGATATATTTAGTTGTACAAGGTAGTGAACTAGTGATCCTTGTGTGATATTTGCTTGAATGCTTATGGTTGCAGGAGCATCGAGTGGAATTGGTGCTGAAACAGCCCGGGTTCTTGCACTTCGAGGTGTTCGCGTAGTTATGGCGGTTAGGAATTTGTCTTCAGGTGCCACAGTAAAGGACTCGATTTTAAAGGAAATTCCGGCTGCCGAGGTTGATGTCATGGAGTTGGATCTTACTTCGATGGCATCAGTGAGAAAGTTTGCCTCTGAATTCAATTCCTTAAATCTTCCTCTGAACATCCTTATGTAAGAGACCCAACTACGAGTTTTTTTTTTTGCTTGAGATACACAAAATTCTGTTTGCAACATCTACTAAACTGTTTCGCTTGTTTGTCTTCGTGTTTTTTATTGTCATTGGAAGCAACAATGCAGGGGTAATGGCAACTCCATTCTCACTCTCTGAAGATGGTATTGAGCTGCAATTTGCAACTAACCATGTTGGTATGAGCTCCGATGCCTTGGCCATTCTGAGATTTTTGTATGCACTAGCAGAAGCATTTAAATTTTTTTTTATGACAACTAAATATATGGGAATCTTCTATTCTCTTCGAAAAAAAAAAATATTCAGCATTTTATATTTCTTTTTTTGAAAAGGAAGCACTGTAGGTGACTAACGATTAGGAAAGACTTATGCAAAGATTTGAAGAGATGAGGATGTTTAGATGTATGCACGAATGCATGCTGTTAATATGGAATATAGAATAACAAGATTTGCATGCATCCAGGGAATGTCATCTAACATGGTTTTGTCATACCCATGGAAGAATCAGGAATATATTGACAAGGTAGTCTGGGAAATTTTGGGTTAGTATAACCAGGATGGTCACAGAAGACCGTAGATTATTTTATCGGAGTTAATAAGAACTGATTTGATGGCTCATTGAATAATTCAGTTGGGAGCAGCAAATTTTTACTGTTTCTGCTTGTATGGAACATTGAACCTTCTTCTACAGTTTAATTTTGGACATTTTCAACCTTTTATGTTTTATACATTAATTATGTTCTCCAATTTGGTGTTTAATGGCCAAAGTTATGTCTGAAGTTCAGTCTAATGTTTTGCAGGCCATTTTCTTCTGACTTACCTTCTATTGGACAATATGAAGAATGCATCCCGTACATCCAGAATAGAAGGCAGGATTGTTAATGTTTCATCAGAGGGGCATAGATTTGCATACAGTGAAGGAATTCGTTTTGATAAAATAAATGATCAGTCAGGGTACGATGGAATTGTGTGTTCCTGAATATATTAACTTGAGATTTCCTGTGATTAGTGGGCCAAAATTTTCTGATCTTTTGTATGCTGTACTATTATTTTCTTTTTGGTCTAAATTCAGGTTATATTAGACAAGATGAAACAGGGAAGAAGTTCTTTATTGGTTTATAATTTTTTCCTTGCAGATACAACAGCATTGGTGCCTATGGGCAGTCAAAGCTTGCGAATATATTGCACGCTAATGAACTTGCAAAATGCTTCAAGGTTCATTCTGCTAGAGACTGCAACTATTATTATAACACAATTTTCATTTTTCACAATCTAGTGTGAATATCTCAGTTATTTCTTGGAACATATCCTTCATCAGTTGTAAAGCTTGATTTACTGCGTTTATATGACAGATGTCCTCAAATAGGCATTACAATTTTCTAATTGTTAAGAACCTTATGCATCAATTGGTTGTTTAGCTCGGCACTCAACTGTTACCATGTCAGGGAACAAGCTATTGGGTGCTATTTGGCTCCGTTTGTCACTCATGAAGGTTCCTAGGTGCTAACCATTTTTCAATTCTGATAAGTTGCTCAAAATTTGAAAATAAAAATTTTGAAGACAATAGTCGTTGTTACATATTACATTGATATGGACATAGATGGTCTTAAAAATTTGTTGACTGTCATTATGTAATAGTTATTTCTGTGTTGTCATTTAAAAAAAAGTTGCACAATAACTATATCACAAAAAAATAGCTTAAGTAACTAGAAGAGGAAGGACTGTGATGTTGAGATCCTGGTCCCAATATACCATGGTCTAAAGATAAACGGAGGTATACATTCCTTAAGATTCCATAATCTGTAAAGACAATAGGATCCTTGTTTTCTGCATAATGAAAACCATAAATAATGAAAAGAAGCATCTCAATTTACACTTGATAATGTAAATATAAATGCTGAGATTGAAGTAAGCTTATCAGGAGTATAAATTTCACGGAATCTTAGCTTAATGGAAATTTATAGCCATCAATAGTGGGCCAAAAGTGAACTGAATTTTGCTTGTGGTCGTGTAATACTTGTTAACTGACAACAAGCTTTTTGGAGTTTTTCCTTGTATCATGCTATTATTCCTATTGATTTTGATATGCATGTATGAGGAACATTATCAACTGGCTTCTTTATTTGTCTCAACAGGAAGAGAAGGTGGAGATAATTGCCAATTCTCTTCATCCTGGATCGATTATCACAAATCTTCTTCGTTACCACAGTTTCATAGATGGTAAACAAATAGAGCTCCATGTGTTTTTCTTGCAATATTTGATTTATTGGACATGAGAATGCTTGTACTTGATTCATGGCTCTGGACATGAGTATTTAATAATGTGTGGCAAAGCAGGTTACGAAACTGTTTTTCAGTTTGTTGTGTCATATAGATGAATAGAAAGCTATTTTGTTGATATACAAGACAGCCTCAAGTGAGAAACGACATTAATCTCATCTTGTGACCAATCATGGACATTCAACTTTTCTGATAAGACTTCTGGCTTTAGAGGATATATTTATTATGTATATTGATTATTTTAATTCACAGTGATGAAAATCTTGCATAGTAGGTTCGTCACCATTCCAATGTTGATCTTTATTGTTTTGTCAATAATTGTATTATGGGATGATTCATGCATCAGTAGTTACCAAATGAAGACTAAGTTGATTTGTGTAACACCTGGTTGAGCGTGCTTGATTGAACTGATGGTCACAGGTAAATTTCTGACATTACTCATGCTTTAATCTAGTTCACAATCCAAAACCAAATATGTGCATTTAAGTTCATCTAAGAAGTTTTCAGTTTTAATATGTAAGCTTGAGTCCTTGATGTTTCATCCAACACAGTGCATCTTCTTTTGATCTAATGCAGTCATTGCTCGTACGCTCGGGAAGCTAGTGTTGAAAAATGTGCAGCAGGTATTTTTTATGTTTGTGTTGTTTATAATTTTAGTGAGTCGAGTCCTTACAAACAATAAACAAAAGCTATCTAGCATCTGAGTCATCTTCACACATTAATGCATGTTTGACATAATTAAACTAAACCAAAAGATAGCATTCTTCTTGTCAATTATTAAGCAAGTAGGACCTGGCGGACTGGTGGTGAAGGTGATCCTATGTTGATACCATATTTATGGACCATACCATGTCTTTTGGTGCCGACGTATCAAGTAATCTATTAACAATTTTTGATTGATATGGGCATACAATACCATACTGACTGGTACACACAAACCGATTATGGACACACAAACCTTGTGGGTACCAATGCTGGTATCAAAATTTTGGTTCTGCCACTTTGACTATGTAGGCAGATCACCAGATTATGGAATTACTAGATCAACATCTATTTTTGTAGATATAAGTCAATAAAATCACCTTGCGCTCGCCTGGCATAATATTAAACCATGACTTGAGTTTATTATGCTATTTTATAGAATTTATTTAACATGAAGCTTGAGGTTTCATGTTATCGGTGCATAAAATGTGATTATCAATTAGAATTTGATTTTCTAGATTATTTATTACCTACTTTGACTAATCAAGGAGCTTAATATGCATCCATTTCTTACCTTGAACACAGTCGAATTGAAAAATGAAAAACTCAAATGACTACTATAGTTATTTAGTTATCTAAGTTTTTAGCTTTTTATTTTTTTAATCTGATAAGGAATTTTTATAATCATTTTAAACTGTTAAATTTTTGTATCACACACCAATATGCATGTATTGCTCATCAAGTATTGTCATAGTTTACAATGTCATTTTACTTGAAATCTATGTACATCATGAGTCGCATGTTGTGCATTTCTCTTTGCAAGTGTTTGCTATAACATCAAACAGTCCAATGGACAAGGATCTTTCTTGACCTTGCAATTGTCTTATTCATATACATTCTCAGTTAGGAATACAGTCCTGTGTTTTCTTTTGTTTAAAAATATAAATTACTAGTAATGCCTACTCTGTTCTATATAAATCCTTGTGTGAGATGAATAATTTTGAAGTACTTTAAGATGATCAAATCCATTCCTGATCACTATCTGGTTCATTCCAAGGACTCGAGTATCATTAGCCACGTTCCTTACACTCAACAAAGCTGGAAAAGAAATAAAAATATCTAACAAAGGAAAACAAGCACATCCACGGATTTAGTTTTGCACTTTCATGGATACTCTGTTGTGATATATGAAGTGATCAGTCATCACTATCTCATGTTGTCCATTTGATAGAAAGTGAAGCATAAAAAGATCACTCAGTTGATTTATTAATTTGGATTATCTGGTGATTTTTTCAATCAATTTCTTGACAGGGGGCAGCAACCACATGCTACGTAGCGCTGCATCCTCAAGTCAAGGAGGTGAGTGGCAGGTACTTTTGCGACAGCAATTTAGCTGAGCCAAGTTCAAAAGCCAAGGATGTGGACTTGGCGAAGAAACTGTGGGACTTCAGTGTAGATTTAGTTACCTGATATGTTTGAAACCTATGGTTAATAGTATAACAAGTATTGCTTGTCAGAACAAATAAATACTTCCAAGGATGTTATTGTGGTTTGTTCTGGATTTAATTTATCGATAAAGGACGTGAGACCATTTGGGTTTATGCAAGTAGTGTTCTTGGAAAAGAATTCTAGTTCAGAATGGTGTGCTTGTGAGATGCAAATAGTACCACATCGGTTATATTAGATGCAGTAAGGGGGCGAGAGGTGTATAAGATAGGGGGCCCCCCGCATCAGGAAAACATACTTACCTGGACAGGGTCGACGGGCGATCAAGAAGGCTCGTGGCCTAAGCCAGCTGCCTCTATTGCACGTGGGAGGATCGCTGGCTTACCATCTCCCCCAAGTGGGAGAGTGGATGTCATAATTTGTGGTAGAGGGGGATTCGCGTTCGCGCGGCCCCTACCCAAATCTAACAGAAAATTTCTCTCGGAAGAAGGAAGACGTTTTTTAACACAAGCAATAATTACTGTACGGTTGTAGTCGATGGACACAAATTGCAAGCATATTAGTGGCCGTCATCCAGGTGACTACTCATTAAAGTAATGAGATGGACTCATCAATGACTAACATAACATTGACGGGCAACTTGGATCAGACTCAATTTTCGTCGGTGTTTAACGTCAGCTTTGAATGCTCGACACATTTAAAGTTCTCATTATCGACAGTTGTTAACTAGAATTGCGGTGGTAGGATATGTTTACACATCAATGCACCTCGATCTTGATCTTTCGAACAAGTTGCAGTACGTTTTTGAACCTAAAAACCCTCATGGATGCGCTCGCTCGCAACGAACGATGTCAGGGACCATCAGGAATGCGTCGTGATCTATATCCTCAATATCATGGACTGCCATTGGATTACCGAACAGTTCTTACCGGAGTTTCGATGCTATCCCTTTCAATCCCCAGGCAGAACAAATTCGTGGGAGACCTCCTGTTTAACTCCTAATCCCACACTACACTAAATTCGATTCATCAGATGCAGACAGAAGAGAGAAAGAACCTTAGAGAAAAAGAGGCTCCACTAGCGACCTACCTGCATGTCTACCCCATTGATGAGGATAATAATTACGATAAGACTTACGTGACACCCGTTGACGTCTCACTTCCTTGTTAGTCCGACACCGCGTGACTGACACGGGTCAGAACACCAACCGAGGCCTATTAACGACCGCTCAGGTTTGATTCCACACACTTCGCCGATAGCAATATCAAACGTCATCAGAAGGTACGATCCTACCCGCTGCGGGCATGCACATCAGGTAACACCGAACTCCCCTATAAATATCATTGCATTCTTAACGAAAAAGAGATGAGACAGAACAAACAACCCCACCACGATTATTTACTGACTTGATCGTCGGAGGGGTCGGGTCGAGTTCTCCCGTCCCGACCTGTGTGCAGGGACGAAGGCGAGGCGTTTCTCTCCGGGCGCGTTGGCCAGGAACCTCCTCCCGAAGGAATCGGCAACCCGTCATCCGGACCCGAACCAAGCCGCGTCGGCCCCGAGGTCACGGCTAAAAAGTTATTTACACTAACATAATGGCGCTAGAAGGAGGGCCGATGTCAAGGGATTGCCAGGCCGACTCAGCTGAAGCTGCAGTCGAGGGGGCGCATTCGGTCGGGGTTCCAGGGGACATCCCCCGCGGATAGGTCTCCGTAGCGAATACCCCGCTGCAACTTTAGAGCGCTATTGGCGAATATTCAACGACCAGGGCTTGCTACCGCCCGACGCCCCCTCCACCGAACCACCGCCCGTCTCGTCCGAAGCCTTTCTCGACCTCTCACCCATCAGGTCCAAGTTCTAACCGGTATGATATAGTCCATTATTCCACTCGTCTCAGGAACGCTGCATCCCCCGGCCACCGAACCGGTGCGACAGCAGGAGCCGCCTGCTCAGGCTCAGGCGCAGCCCCTGGAGCTTCCCACTTCGCCTCGGGTCCCGTTGTCCCCGCTCACTGATCGAGTCACGATGGACCGGAGGGGCCACACCCAACCCGAGGCCTTTCCTTCGACCTCGACGGACTCCCTGCGAGCCCAGTTGCTCCTCGTCAGTCAACGGCTTGACGAGGTACAGAAAGAGGTCCGCAGGTCGAGAGGAGAGCTCGGGGAGGACATACATCAGGGATCCCCATTTGTCCCCGAAATACAGGATCAGACGGTCCCACAGAATTTTCGTCTCCCCTCTCTCGACACGTACGACGGCTCCACCGACCCAGCGGACCACATAGCCGCTTTCCGCACCCAAATGGCACTATATGGAACTTCTGACGCTCTGATGTGCAGGGCGTTCCCCACAACACTAAGGGGACCAGCCCGCACGTGGTACGACGGCATAAGAACCGGGACCATCGCCTCATTCGACCAGCTCGCTAGAGATTTTGAGCTCCACTTCCTAGCCAGCGCGCGACCAAAACCATCCATTGCCTTACTTCTCGGACTACACCAGAGGGAGGACGAGTCCCTCTCCCACTTTGTGAACCGTTTTGCCACGCAGATCCGGGGATTATCCGACGCTCACCCCTCTCTGTTGATGCAGGCGTTCATGACAGGACTACGACGTTCCCGATTCTTCTGGTCCCTCGTTGAGAGACCCCCCTCCGCGGTACCGGAGATGCTTCAGCGGGCAAACCAGTTCATCGCGGTTGAGGCTTGGATGGCCGGAAAGCAGGAAAAGCACACGAGGGTTAGACCGGAGCCGGTTCGCGGGCAACAGCCTGCCGCGACTAGGCGCAGGCTGGACCAATCCGACCTACTCGCTCCGAGGCCTCCTTTGCCACCCCTAGGCACATCTCGAACGGAGATATTTCTCCAGATAAAAGAGAGAGGGTTACTCAGGGCTCCCGTTCCGATGAAAAACCCGCGAGAGCTCGCCGACCAGTCCAAGCATTGCAGCTTTCACAGGCAAAATGGGCACGACACCGAAGACTGCCACGAACTGAAGCGACAGATCGAGGAGCTCGTCCGCGCTGGCCACCTCAGTCGGTACATCCGACGTAACGGGGAGTCCTCGCCTCTCCCGGAGGGCCCCGTGGAGCGCCACATCGATGTCATCTCCGGAGGACCGACGGCTGGGGGAACCAGTATGTCGGGGAGAAAGGCATATGCCCGTTCCGCCAGGATCGACGCTCCCCAACGTGGTCCCGACCCCAAGGTCGCATTCCCTCCCGAGGACATCAAGCCACCGCAGCACGATGATGCGCTTGTGATAATGGCTCGAATCGCTAACGCCCAGGTGCGGAGAATCATGATCGACACCGGAAGCTCGGCCCACGTGCTCTATCTGGACGCCTTCCAAAAGTTGGGGTTAACAAAAGAATCCCTAAAGCCTATCTGCTCGACGCTCACGGGGTTCACCGGCGACTCCATCTTGCCATTGGGGACTGTCACCTTGCCCCTCACCTTGGGAGCGCCGCCCCGAACAAAGACGGTGATGCCCACCTTCTTGGTGGTGGATCTTCATGCTGCCTACAACGCCATCCTCGGCCGCCCCACCCTCAACAAAATCAGAGTTGTAGTCTCCACCTATCATCAAACGGTGAAGTTTCCTACCCCCGCCGGGACAGGTGAAGTTTGAGGAAGCCCCCGAGAGTCCAGACGATGCTACCTGACGGCGATCTCGCTGCACAAAAAGGCGAGGACCGACCAGCCTCTTGAAGACCCGAGAGAAGAGAAGCGGCCGACGCCACACCCGGAGCCGATGGCGCCCACTTGCGACGTGCCATTGATGGAGGATCGCCCGGATCGGACGGTCCGGGTCGGGTCGGAACTCCCCGGGCAAGAGCAAGAGCAGCTCGTCGGTTTCTTACAGGAGAACGTAGATGTCTTCGCCTGGTCGCCATCCGACATGATCGGCGTCGACCTTGAGACCGCCCAGCATCACCTGAATATATCACATGACGCCCGGCCAGTAAAACAAAAACCACGATGACAAGCCCCCGATAGGCAGCTCGCCGTCCGTGAAGAGGTGGAGCATCTGTTAGCGGCTGGCTTCATCGAGGAAATCAAGTACTCGCGATGACTATCTAATGTAGTGCTGGTGAAAAAATCTAATGGGAACTGGAGGATGTGCGTTGACTATACGAGTCTCAATCGGGCATGCCCGAAAAGACTGCTATCCCCTCTCAAGAATCGATCAGCTGGTTGACGGGATAGCCGGGCACGCCCTCTTGTCGTTCATGGACGCCTTCTCCGGATACAACCAGATCAGAATGGCGCCTAAAGACCAAGAACACACAGCTTTCATCACCGACTTGGGGGTGTATTTCTACAAAGTCATGTCGTTTGAGCTCAAGAACGTAGGCGCCACCTACCAGAGGGTCGTGAACAAAATGTTCGCCGCTCAAATCAGGCGGAACATCGAAGTCTATGTCGATGACATGATCGTCAAAAGTCGCATGGTGGCAGACCACCTAACTGACTTGGCTGAAACATTCTCTACACTCCGGAAGTATGGCCTACGGTTAAACCCGACAAAGTGCACCTTCGGCGTCGGGTCGGGAAGGTTCCTCGGATTCATCGTGCATGAAAGGGGAATCGACGTGAATCCGAAAAAGGTGCAGGCGGTCATCAATATGCAGGCTCCTCGAACAGTCAAAGACCCGTAGCGACTAAACGGACGGCTTGCTGCCTTATCCCGATTTCTGTCTCGGTCCGGTGATCGTTGCCTCCCCTTCTTCCGGGCGTTAAAAAACCCCAAGGACTTCCGGTGGACGGTGCAGTGTGAAGAGGCTTTTACACAAGTCAAGCGGCACCTGGCCAACCTTCCCCGCCTTGCTTCGGTCGTCTTCGGGGAAAAGCTCAGCGTTTACTTGGCCGCCTCCCAGCACGCGGTCAGCTCCGTCCTAACCAAAGAAGTTTCCGGGGAGCAACTACCGGTCTACTACGCCAGCCACGTCCTGAACGGGCCCGAGGAGCGGTATCCGCCGCTCGAAAAGCTCACTTTGGCGCTTGTGCTGGCATCCCGAAAATTACGCCCTTACTTCCAGGCTCACACGATTGAGGTAATCACTGACCAGTCGCTCCGGCAGGTTTTGTCTAAGTTTGATGTCGCAGGTCGACTCCTCAAGTGGTCGATAGAACTCGGAGAGTTCGACATACAT